TGGTGGTTAGCGAAACGCCAACGCGAGCAGCACCAAACCAACCCGCTGTTCACGACAGCCTCTAGCCAGTAAATTTGCCCTGACTTCGCTTTTCAGCAGCTGCCTTGGCTGGCTGGTTCTTTGTGTGGGGTTGGGTGTTTTTTGGGGGTTGTGGTTATAGTGGGGTTTTTTTTGTTTTGTTTTTTTAATCTCTATGGTCCTTGGATACCTTTTACCCATTTGGAATTCGTCTCCCTGTTTCCTATGCTGGTGATCCTGCTGACTCCAGCTGGGATTCTGCAATGCAAAGTACTTACAGACTTCTGTGGCTGTGGGCACTTCGCACTCTGCCCTGCCGCTCGGGTCCTGGCCTGGGAGGTGGCGGGGGACCGGTGACGTCTTGTGCGTTCGCTGCCACGGGGCTGTGGGGCTGTAACAGCAGCAAGGTGCCGCCTGCGCGACGCTGAGAGGCGACGAGGTGCCTGGGGACTGTGCCGATAGGAACCAGAGTAAATGTACAATGTCTGGATGGATGAAATTGGCCAATTGTAACGAATTATCGGGTCCTGGCCTGGGAGGTGGCGGGGGACCGGTGACGTCTTGTGCGTTCGCTGCCACGGGGCTGTGGGGCTGTAACAGCAGCAAGGTGCCGCCTGCGCGACGCTGAGAGGCGACGAGGTGCCTGGGGACTGTGCCGATAGGAACCAGAGTAAATGTACAATGTCTGGATGGATGAAATTGGCCAATTGTAACGAATTAGTCCTGAAAAACGCAACTACATACACACACCGCAAGCCTAATGCGGTAATGACCCGGCATCTTACAGGAAGATGTCCTTTGCCGTGCGGTAGCACCACACACAACCTCCCCTCCTCCCTGGAGCAGGATCCCATGTTATCTCCCCTCCGTGTTTCCACCCCTGCAGAACATCACAAAACCAAAGTAATCAGGTTTTTTAATCTCTTTTTTTGTTGTTGTTGTTTAAAAAAGGGTCAGTTAACAAAACAGCCACCCCAGTCCTGTCACTGGCCAGCTAGAAAGGACAGCAAAAAAGGTATTTTACTGGCCCAGCACAAGGTACAGCTGGAAGGAAACAGCCAGCAGCAGCAACGGCCTCTTTGCTAGTGACTCTCTGGTGCTTCTGGAACTCAGCACCTCCTCCTCAGCTCAAAACTGAACCCATGCTAACAGTAGGGAAAACTCAGCGTCAGGTAAGACCAGTACCTAGAACGAAGGCGAACGTAGCGCGTGGTAGAAATCCTCGGCTGTTGGCCTAAACATCCTTCAAGGCACACCAAGGGCAGGAAGAGTGCTGTGCTAAAAACCAATAAACAAACCATTTCCCCCTGGCTGTTACCCCTTCCCTACCCAGTGCTGACCCCAGACTGCCAGGCCTGCCCTGCCCTACCCCTAACCGTCCACTTGTTGCGGAAGACCTATCCGGCCACGTTTTGGTGAACACAGAAAGCAGAGCACTGACCATTTCAACAAGAGGAAAGAACCCAGCATCAAAGTGATTTAGTTTACAAGATTTTTAATTTACAAATAAAAAAACTACACATTTTACTTTTTCTCCTTTTTCTCCTCTTTCTTGGCATCACTCTTCTCCTTCTCTTTCTCCTTCTCATCTTTTCTCTCCTTTTTACTTTCTTCTTTTTCCTGTCCTTCTTTCTTCTCCGCATCCCTGTTGGCAATCTTGTTGTTAATGAGGTTGTGCAGGGCAACCACAGAACGGATAAGAGAAGCCAGATAAACTACCACCATCTGGTCATTGGTCTTCAGATAAAAGGCCTTGACAAACTCTTGCAGGTTGACATCTGGTAGCAGGTTGAAGACGTCCTGCAGGTGGTAGATGATCTGGTGATTGATGGGGAGTTTGCCCATGGCTACTTTCTCCAGGTAGCTCCTGATGTCCAGAAGCTTGGAGTTCAGTCCCTTCAAGCCATGGACCTGATTTGTGATCCGCTGGGACAGCGTGCCCACCGTTGTATCCTTGATATCTCTGGAACACCCACAACAGAAAGACTCAGCGTTAGACCGTTCCTCTGCATGCTCGTTAGCAGGTGGGCATGTTCACTTCAGAGAGCTTTCCAGCTTAAAACGTAAAGCAGTTGGAAGCGCAGCTGAAGTACAATCAAAACAAATGCTTCAAGTCAAAGAACAAGAACTGACGTACGTTACAAAGTGCATCTAAAATAGATCATTGTTGTATCCTGTAGCGCACATGTTCTCTTTGGAACAACATTTGTATCCCTAGAGAGAAATAAAGAACAGGTGTTCCGCCTGGTGAAAGGGCGACCTGGTTTGTACGGGGTGACTGCTCTCTTGTTTTGGCTGGCGAAAGTGCCAAATGACGCAATATTCTGCAGCTTTGGTAGAATGAATACGTCGTTTTCATCACCTCACCAGCGGGCAGTCACACTTTTCCCTAGCAATGAGTGAATATGCCAAGCAAGGCAGCTAATGAATACGCTCTCAGAATGTAAGTAGGGTGTTTGAAACAAGACCCGCATTTCCTCCTGGAAGCGGGCGCTGGGAGATGCCAGGTGGATCGTGGTCACTGCAACGCGAGTCTCATAAGAACACGTTCATGTTAAGGATGCTTACCGTAGCAAGTGTTCAACACCAACTTCCTCAGCCTCCTCTGCTCCAATCTCACTGGTCACGTGCTCAAACGTCTTGGAGGTCGGCGTGCCATCCTTCGAGCCGCAAGGAGACAGATATGTGGTCAGACCGAGCACAGAGCTGACTGCGGGCACAAAGGTGCGCGCACCACCTAGCCCGTACAGGGGTCTCGCACACCAGCAGTGGGGCAGCGCGCGTGACGGTGTGCTGTCAGATTAACTGACGCCTCTTTACAGGATCAGGAAGAGGCAATGGGGCAAATTATGGCAGAACGGCATATTCAGGGGACTGAAGTACACAGCTAAGGGGAGAAGTCTGTGAGTGGATCACAATGCCTTTTAAAAACAGGGAATTTTACACAGAGTGTGAGAAACCGTATTAATGAAACCACCAAAGTACTTATATACAGCCCACAAGAAATTGGAGACGAAAGGCTTTAGTTGGATTTTTCTTGATTTAATTAGTGTTGCCAACTGTCACAAGCCCGAGTTGCTAGTAGTTTCTTCTTTCTTGTGCTCTGTGTAATTTTCAATTAATCTATTTTATTGGTCTATGTACTGGTGGGTACAATGGAAAGGCTCACTAAATATCACAATTATTTCTTTCTTTCCTGATACAACCTTATTACATTTTGGGATACCTTTTATCATCCTGATACTTGCCCTCAGCCAGTTAGAAGCACATATGCAGTTCCAGAAAAAAAATACTAATATGGAACAATCTCATTAAAATTACAACTTATGCACTGGATATTAAGGAAGACGTTTAAAAGATTCACAGGCTGAATTTCTGAGAACAAGTTTTACCCATGGGTTTTCAAAACCTTTACCTGGCCCAGTATACAGCTGTAAATAGAAAGCACCACCGGGACTATCGTCAAAACAAGGAACAAACCCTGCAGATACAAGATCTACAATACTGGGACCAGCTTTTTCTCCATAGTGAGGGCCTCAGAAAGGCAAAAGGATCAAACTTTCTTATATACATCCAAAATGCTATTTAAATCAAACAATTGCAAATGAAAAGCTAAAGCTGACTTACTACTCTATGTTGTTTGTCTGCATGGTGCTGCAAGTGATTAGTAAGTGTTGTTCATGCCTGGCCTCCTGACTCAGCGCTGGCAGGTGCACAAACGAATAAGCACGCCATTACTCAGAACACCTCTGCAAACAGGCTGACATGTAAAAGTGACATCCTAGAAGTGCTCCAGTCTGTGACTTCCTTCATGGCCGTGGCCATGACAGAAACAGGTAAGAAGCATCTAAATCATACGGACAGCTGGAGCTGTGGAATTCTTTAGCTCAAACAGTAACGCACAGCTTTTCTTCCAAGAGCATTGGTGAATGAAAGCTTTAGTTACAAATGCTTATATTACAACTGGGATCAGGAGATCCCAGATCAGGAGATTTTGGCTGCAAGTCACAGGCCCTCGCTAGCGAGTGCAACATCCCATATGTAAAAGGCAACTATGTGCCGTGGGATGTGCATCCTTCAGAAAATAAGGCAATCCTCATAGAAATCTTCTAATGGAAACCCTTTTCCTAGGAAAAGACAGAGGGACATGTTAAATACTCACATCGTGAACTTCTTCAACCGAAATATAAGCTTCTGTGGGCAGCCCCAGGTCCTTTGGCTTCACATCAATAATCACCAACACCTTACGGAAAGAGCAAACGTTTCAGAAAACCAGGTTTCAATCAAAGACTAGAAAAAAAATACTCAGGTCAGCTCTTCACTCCACAGCACGTTGGCTGCTCAGAGGTGTTAACTTCAGGCACTCAGAAAAGATATCTGCAGCTGTTTCAAAAGACTCTGATCCGAGTTCCTCAATCGCTTTACAGCTGCCAGGTCTTTAACATGCTGTATCCCCAGTAACAAAGGCAGGAGCCAAGGGTTCCCACATACCCCATATAGGAAAAGAGAGGGAAAAAAACCCAAAAAGTGCCACACTTACAGAGTTAGGACAGTATCTTTTCATCAGTTCATTGATGGCGATGTCGTTCTTGTGCAGTTTAGGGCCTGTGTGGTACCAACCAACTATTCTTTCTCTAGCTGAGCAAAACCAGAAAGGATTCTAAATCAGAATCGCATGGTAAGACAACAAACAGAAAGATTTAGGCAGGGATCGAGTTAGCAAATCAAGGGTGAAAATCTGATGCGTGTAGAGGATGAGTGTAAAGTAGGGGGAAATGAATTACGGTAGGCAAGACAATGACATGGCTAGTGACAAAGACAGTTTACTAATTGTACTTCCTTATCGCAGCTTACTACTTTACTCCTAGGTTCTTAACTAAACTGGACTATTTCATATCATTTATTAATTTTGCAGATATTAAGATCTGACAGCTTGAAACTCTGACATCTAGGGGCACATCTGTATAGAATGGGTTACAGAGAAGAAAGCTTTGAAATTCTTCAGAAATAATGACATTTTTGAAATCTGAATTACTCTGAAGATATATAAAGCTGTCAGGAGACTTAGGAAAATTAGCAAGGTATAAAGTAATGTGTTAAGAACACAAACTACTTGTACAAATTAACCCATGGAAAACCATCAGTGAAAGTGAAGCCATGCAAGGAATTAGCATGGAGTGCCACCTTCTGTGAGCAATTAACTTCCCATCTGACTATGAATTCACTTCCCATATGGAGTCTTCAAAGCTTCTAGGAGCGTATCCGTGACTGCAAGAAGTCCTCAACTTACCGTTGACCTTCTTAAACATTCCATACATGTTCTCCAGATAGTCGTGGTCTAGAAACCACACAGTATCATCCTTGTCATCCTCATCAAAAGGTACTGGGAATAAAACAAAATATCAATATTTAAGAATCCAACTTCCAGAATGAAAATGTTTATAGAAACACTGTGTTTTAGGATACCCTTGGCTGCTAAAGGAGAGTAGATTTTAATGTTTCCACTGTGCTGCAACACTATGCTGCACAAGCTAACCTGCAGTGCTGGTCGCTTCCCTCAGGTAGAGGCTGTCTTGTAATTACCAACAGTTTAGAACCGAGGAATGAAATGCAAAGCATTCTGATGGTTATCCTTCGTGGACAACATCAAGCATCAGAGAGAAATCCTCCCACATACAAAAGTAACACACAAAAGTGTGCACAGACATTTGATATGATCAACTGAGTATCCCAGCAGACTTTACAGCTTGTCAATCAACAGCGGTCCACTTAGAGAAAAATTAGTTTTCAGTGTAGAACACGTCATCAGTGCAGAAGACGTCATCAGTGCTTTTATAGACTACTAGAACACCATGAGGCACTTCAAGTAAGGACTACTTACCCTTGAGTAAACGACTAGTTATTTTATCAGTTAGCATGTATACAGGCACACAGGCTCAGTTCTGAGAACAAAGACTGGTCTCAGTCTTTTACCTTACAGGTACAGTAAAAGCTTCATAGTAGAAAGGCTGTCAAAATGACAAAGGAACCTTTTTCTAACTCAAACAGAAAAAAGTTCTTCCAAAAGTTGGGAAAAAAAAAAGAAGTCCACACTTGGGAGAAGAACTCCATATAAACTGTGAAACTCCACAAATAAACTGAGATAATTTTGCTTTGTCACAGAGCAGCCCCACTGGGAAGGACATGATCTAACTAACACAAATGGGTCAGCAAAAGCCAGGCATTCAAGAAGTACTTTTACTATTACATACAAGTATTTAAGAGGAAACTATTTCAATGCTATTAACAACATACTTAAGGAAAGAACTAGTATTTCATTGCACAAAATCTGAGGAAAAGAAGTAAAGCTAAAATATACATTAAATCATTACACAAGTAGGCAACAGCTACGTCAGCACCGAGAGCTGTGAGTTCTGTACGACATGTTGAGACACTGATCACTCAGCAGAGGTCAGCGAGTCCAATGCAGCAAAATATTCACCAGCATTTTAAAAGAGGTTTACATCTGCTCCCAAAACATTCCACAATGTTACAGGGAAGATGCAGCACAAGACTGGCTGGAAGAGGTGTATTTTTGACAGCAGTTAGCATTTCTTGTTAGACATAGGCTGACTTGTACGTGGAGGGAACAATCTGTGCTCTGGCAGAGTGGCTTAAAAAAACCCACACGCAGTTCATCTCTTAAATAATTCAGTAGGTTTGAACAAGGGTAGGACACCCAAACTCACCTGCAAAACTGTTGGACACATCTAGTATTTTCTTCTGCCACGAACCGAGCAGCACACCAACGACTCGCTTCTGATTTCCAACTTTTCCTATTCTAAATGGAAAAGATCGTCAGTTCCTATGACAAAAAGCCTGATTCAGGAAAGAAGGTAACAGCGGACCACTTGCTTCACCTAATTTCTGCAAGTTAAACGTATGCGTGTTGGAACAAAAGAAGAGGCGTTACAATGGTTTTATTACTGATTGTTAATTTACATCCAGAAAAAGGCGTTTCATTGCCCTCAGAATCAAACCTTGTAGCCCAGCGATGCAGAAAGAGGACTACGTGGCCCAATACAGCTAACGAGGGGGAACATGACCCAAAATAAGCACTGCTGCAGCCCCTCCGCAGAACAATGGGCTATGAAAAAAGTGAGTAAGCTCTTAAACTGCTCGGTGTCGTCCACAATTTGCTTTCACAACAGCAGGCTTGTTCGCCTCGTGAGATTTTGGGTTTTAATTTTTGGCGTTAAAACTGCAACTAAGGTAAATTAGGCATAAGTTACACCCGGTGTTTAGAGGGATAAGACTTAGGCCCCGCTCATCCGGCTGCAGCTTCAGGCACACACCCCGCTTCTCCCCACTCGTGTTTTAACGAGCACGACGTTGGTCCCGAGCCCCCGGCAGGCGCTGACAGCCCCCTCACGGCACCCGAGCG